TTCTCATTGTAATTAGGAATGAAGCCTCACCTTTTCACTGCTGAACTAACCTTATTCAGGGAAGTTTCTGCTATCACTGACAAAATCCCGATGTTTGCGAGCAAGTAAGCACGTTGCTGTTAAATAAACAGATTCTATGTTTCCCACTCGTGTACGTGCTTCCTTCATTGTATATAGTACAGACAAGTACCAACTTTTTTAAATTACGGGATGTCTTCATAGCTGCCTTGCATCTGCAAACGTGTACACGGAAGGGGCACAGGGGGAAGGCGGCCGCCCCTTCTAGTCACTAATTAAGGGGGGGGGGGCGAAAACTTAGTCCCATACATTGACACAATATGGAGGTGGCGCTGCGACTCGGGGAGGGGCGCATAGTCAACCCCATACATTGACATGGAGAGGGGAGGCGTAGACTCACCTTTGACCTCCCCCCCCCCATAAAGGGAATCCCTGCACCGCCCATGTTGCATGTGGGGATAAGGACGTCATCGTAAGCTGCTGTTGTACTTGTGGCAGTCCCTTCACCGTGGCAGAGACAGAATGCGAAACATTCCGTCCACTGGGATATCGGTGCACGTCTCAAAGAAAGTACGCACATGCGGTTGAACCAACGTTCATTCACGTTCAGTGACGTTCATTTTATCTGGATGTTCCAGCGGTTTAAGAGGAAAAGAGCAGCGATAGTACGCTGCTTGTCACAGGAACGGGTCGTTTGAAGATGTCATTTTTTCATGAAGAGCCCACGGCAACGAGAAGCGTGCAACGGATTGTCATGGCTTTCCTGCGAGACACCGGACTGTGTGAAATTTGCTGACGGATCCCTACGATTCAGGAGATGTTCAGGCGGAACAATTGCCAGCCATTTAGGCAAGGCCAAACCCGCCTGTTGCAACACCACAAGCACCACCACCAACGTTAATCAATGGCGCTTAATGGCCCCTGGAATGACTAGCCGGAAGCGTGACAACAAAGTTAAGAAGACCGAATAGGTCTTCTTAACTTAACTTACTTCTTAACTTACTTAGCGTATCGCTGACTGAGAACACATTGCGCAACTGCTTATGGTGAATCGACAAATATGAAGAATGAGTACGGTGAACGCTTTTTATTGCCAGACACATCTACACAACTCCAATGTCTAAAAATAGCGGCTACTACGAATAACACCGAGTTCTACACGAGTCATGTTGCTGGAAACCGCATGTCAATTGTGGTGTGAAATAAACAAAATAAATAAGAAAAAGAAAGCTAACAGGCAATAGGACTGCCACACAATTAAAAACATCAGTGACGCGATGTGCAAGAGCACTATAGTTTCAGTCCTAAGTCCGTATGTGAGTTTACCACGATCATGAACTGCGTATGTACACCAAGGAAGCACACAGGACGACCGCAGCGCACGTCCTGCAGTGCACTTCTATTTGTCTCGTTTTTTGTTGGTTTTTCGCGCTGCTCATTAGGTGTGCAACCGTATCAATTAGCCCGGTTTTCTAAGTCACTAAGCCTGTAATCACGGCGCTCAACAATCTCTGCCATATTTTTCTTCCGTCGCGGTAACTACAGCCCGAGAGCCTGAACACAACAATGCATATAGTTGATGAACTCTTGTTCTGCTCACGGGATTGTCAACTGCTCCGATCAATCAAATTGGACTTCACAAAACGGGTAGAATGTCAAGTGTCGGAGAGAAAAAAAGTAATGCTTGTAATACCTAGGGAGCGAATTAAACGAGTTCCTATTTTTTAAACAAACGAACGAGCGACAACGTTCAGAAACGACGCTACGCCGCTACACCTTTCAAAAAACGCGCTTGTTGCACACGACCGTCGTGATTGCGCGCGAAACGCCGAAAGCACGGAGGCCACGCAATACAACGTAAATTTCCTTTTTTGGCCACGCGCGCGCTGCGTTCGCGAGCCGGTTAAAGACGCTCGATTTACGGCTGGATTCCCCTCGAACACGGAGGAAGCCCTCGAAGTACACGCCCTCGTTAACTGTCGGTGCAAACGTTGTGCAGAAGAGGCCGACCGTGTGCAGGCACCGTGTTTCGTTTTCCTTGGCGCATTATCGAATCGTAAGTTACCTTCACATGTTCGAGATCTGCCTGTTCGATGGTCAAGCTGCATCTTTCCCGCTATCCGACGTGGCAACCGCCGATTGCCTTCGCGTTGTCGGCACTTTCGTTGTGTTAACTGCAAGGCCACGGCATAAAACTTTGAGCTGTGCATTGGCTTTGGCGAAAGCAGGTGTAACCCACCTTTGTTCTTCCAAACGTATTAGATGAAATCGGGTAGTTATTGCGTCCCGTTTAGCATGATCGTCTTATAAGCAAATGCATCGGCGTGCCATGTCCATAACGTATTAGTCGCGACGATTTAAAATACAAGGCGGCGCAATCATCAAGCATGTGATCGTAAGCTTGAGAACGGCAAAGCAAACTCGATCGTTAGAATGAAACGGGGAACTTTGTCAATCATATCAGTCGTGGTATGCGTGTCTTATCCCAGAAGCAGAACAAGCGCGATACCTTTTCCACGCGTATTTGGGTTGGAACTAATTGCGGAAAGGCGAGCGCGCAGTCGCCGTTCGCAAGTTATGCTTTTTCTTGTCCAAAATTAACACGTAAATAAATGGGGGAAAAGGTATCCGCAACAACGTACGAAGTGGTAAAAACGGTCGTAACGATAGCGATGCCGCACGGCCTACTTTTAGCCTTATGACCACGGGAACCTTTACTTTCATTTTTGATTTTGTGCTCGGCGTGTTGCATCCTTTGCGCCGCCACACGTAGCCAGCGCGCGCGCGCTGTGGGTCTAAGAGGGCAACGGTTGCGGAATCTCTCAGCACGACTCACTGCATAGTTTCCAGTCTATGACTCATTGATCGCCCCTGGCGGGCATTTCACGCCAGCGGAGTAATTCCGCTTGCTTCTTTGCCGGCTTCCGGAATGTAATCAATTCGACGTGTCGCAGTGTCCAGCAATGAAAAGTTCCCGGTTTGTTTGAAAGCGTACGTGTCTTCCGTGTGAGATACCACGCTTACAATACTTTATGAATTAACGACCTGGCTTTTAGTTTTTTCATGCAAGGACAGAAATGCAAGCCCATGTCCGTACATGTGCTAGGGATAACACTTTTCCACCACAATGTACTATATGCACTCCTAGAAGTGGAGGTGTGAAAAAAAAATTAAATGAAAACAATGGTTCCTGAAGTACAAGTTGCCATTGTGGCTTAGGAGTCTCGGCTCTGTGTACCTTTCAGCAATATCCTGAAGTTCAAGTGTCAATCGCTCTCGAAATGTTGTCGTTGCTTATGGTACGCAAAATTTGGGATTTACTGCAGACATATTTTGCAACATTCAAAAGGACATAAAAGTTGAAATGGCTGCCAAGTCAGTCGTGATCTTGGTTGCTGTTGCCCCTGTGCTGCTTTGGAAGCAACGCCATTGATTTCTTTGTTTGAGTGATGAGAATCTGTTGAACGAGGAATTTCTCTTGAGCCTGCACTTCCACATTGGGACTTTTCGCTTTACTTGGTTACAACCCATGAAAAAAATGCCAGGCTTGCCCACACCTATAGCTGTGCTTACAACAGAGAATTTACACAAGTGCTCCGTCCAGTAGGGCTTATTCATTTTCAGATCAAGCACCTCTCGAGTGTTTCAGACAGCCAACTTTTCCTTACAGAACCACACTTTTGTTGCCGGTTTTGGGTCAAACTTGGTTGTCCTGGTAAACTTTCTAGAATTCTGGCTCTGCCAAACTTGACGTTTAAGGTAGTGACAATGAACCTTTAACTGATATGTGTAGTTTATAAATTAGCCAAGAAAAAGCACTTACGATTTGGGCATACACCAGCCAGGCCAACTGTCTTTCACAGGTGAAGGGCAGGCACTGCAGTTCTATAGGTGGAGCTGTCTTTTTTTTTTTTTTTTCGGCTGTAAGCAAGTATAGTGATAGTCGTAACAAACACAAATCCTGTTGTCCAAACATTCACTCCACAGACATTTGTTGCCCAGCGACATATCATTGCTTCGAGCCGTACTTGTACAAGTAATTCGATTGCTTGTGATCGATTACATTTTACTGTGATACTGTAACACTTAAGTTACTTCCTTTGAGGAGTAACGACTATGATAATGCCATTCAGAAAGTGCACTTCTTAGAGCTATATGCTTACTTCTTTGATCAGAAGTCCAAAGTACTGATTGGAGAGAAATTGACCCTAGATGAATTTTTCTCCACAAGGACGACCTTCACGAAATAGAAAAATACAATATTTTTAAAGGTTATAGGTTTACCCTATAAGGGTAACTAACTGGATTCCCAGAGAAGGGAAGCGGGTTAGGGGGAGACGGAAGGTTAGGTGGGCAGATGAGATTAGAAAGTTTGCGGGTATAAATTGGCAGCAGCAAGCATAGGACCGGGTTAACTGGCGGAACATGGGAGAGGCCTTTGTCCTGCAGTGAACGTAGTCAGGCTGATGATGATGAGGTTTACCCATGCATATTTTTTTGTTATAATCAGTTACAAGATTAAAGAATTATATACCTCAAACTTCTGTGTCAACTTAGATTTGAAATTTCACCCTGATAGTTTGCCCTACCAAAATAACATTTGACAAAAGTTTGAGGTACATACATGCTACTACCGATTTGTGCGACTCTCCCTACTGGCCGCCTTGCCATTTATACGTCTCCACGTGCACATACACGCTAGAGTAATAAAAATTGTTTATGAAAAGTAATGTAACAAGAAATCAAATAATTTAGAGCAATTTTTGAATACTTTATTGAGGCTGTAGTTGTAATTGTATACCTTTCACAGTGAAGCAGTTGTAATTGGTTACCTTTTATCTTCATGATGTGTTTACATTTGTTCTTAACTTGTCTTGTTTAGACATCCTCGTCATCATTATCAGTGGGTACCCAAGCTTTGCTTGATGACTTTACCTGGTGCTCATTGAGGGCTTCTCGGATTGCACGTATCGCAGGCGACAGACATGGACATCTTCAGCGGCAAGACGCTTGTGCTTAAGGATGGAAGCTGAGCACGCCGCTGACAAGGCCCTTGGCGACGCCAAGGCCGTGGCCCTTTACTTCTCAGCCCACTGGTGCCCGCCGTGCCGCATGTTCACGCCAGTACTGGCCGAGGCGTACAAGGAGATGAAGGAGGAATGCGCGGCACCCGTCGAAGTCGTCTTCGTCTCGTCGGACCGCTCCAACGCGGACATGCTCAAGTACATGGAGGAGAGCCACGGGGCGTGGTACGCCCTCAAGTATGGCGACAAATTCCAACAGTAAGCACCTGACGAATTTTCCAGTTTTGCTAGCAGTCCCACGAGATGAAAGGGAAAATTGATGTTGAATGGAAATTTATGTTGGGTGCTCATCTGAATCGAGGCATCATTAAGCCAATGCCCTCGCATGCAATCTAGTTGGCTTGAATAGTAGAGAAACTGCTCGGAAAAGGTGGCAGACCTGCATTCTAATTGCTAACCAGGACATTTTTTTGTCAGCTGGAAAGCTTTTGCCTTGCAAGAAGTCTTTATAAATATATCTTTGGTAGCTCTATGATGCACATGGATTTTTTTTTTGTGCTGTTTCCATCTTATTTCTTTGTGAAAAGCTCTAAAATTCAGGCTTCTGCAGAAACAATTTGTCATATTTATTACCCGGGCAACACGGTAATCTGAGCCCGCATAAACACTTTTTCTGCAAAGGGTGACGTGTGATCAGGTCATTTCTAGAGTTATTGTCAAATCATTGGAACGATTGTTCCTGAGTAGCCACTTCACCAATATGTCAATGACAAAGTGGTTTTGTGCTGTTTATGATTGACCTACTGCCATTGCAACTAGCTAATGATCATGACTTGTACAGTGATGTGTAGTTGCAATTGCCTGCACCCCAGTGGGTGATAAAACAGTTCTGTGCAGCAAGTGTTTCTCTCAGTTTGCGACAGCTGTTGTAATAACCTGGCCAGAGCCTGGATTACATCAAACGAGGAACGACTCGCATAAGAGGTTTCGGATTGAAACAGGCCTTCACTTTTTCATGTTTGCTGTATGCTTAGGTACGAGTCCAGCATTCAAATTTTGCTGGTTCATTTTTTTTTTTTCATGGTTCATAACATGAGCACCATAAGACACTTTAGTGTCTGGTTTAGGTTCTACGTAACATGCAGCAAAAGAGGACTCTAGGGAATCCACAACCTAACATAAACCAATAGCTGCCGACCACAATTGCTGTTAGGCTTAGTATATCTTCGCATTAACAGAACACACTATTGCTTCAGGTTCTGTTGTGTTTGATCAGTTTGGCAACCTTCGAAAGTTCTTTATCTCGAAATAGATACACTGACAAGCTATGGAGCGTGCTAAATAAACTTCTGTGACAGTACTCACTTCCACAAACTAGTTTAGCTTTGGCACCTAGAAGAGGTGGAGCCACCTTGACACTACCTGTGTTGCTGTTACTGTGTAACAATGACCAGGTAGTTTCCTTCAGGTTAGCGATGACACCATAACTAAACTGATACTACTTAATGTCAAAATAGTTTACTTGCCAATATTGTACTTGCTTAAAGGTCGTCCTCAGAGAAATTTCGCTTTGGCCAAGGTAAATGTGAGTAAGCAGTATATGCAGCAAATCCTGTCAATTTGGGATTTTGCAGGATCCGACAAGATACACAAATTAACTGTAAGTTGGAATTATTGAAGGTACCGGGAAAAAAAAAGATACTTTCCTACTACATCAATGCACTTTTATTGGCTGAACAAATACAGAAATCCTGTTATTTTGCATAAAAGCAGTGCAGAAGCTAGAATCCCCATTGTCTAAAATTCCTTCCCACTGCAATCATGTACAACATGCCCCCAGCCTTCGTTGAAGAATTTATCATTTGCTGCTGTTGCCATCGCCATCAAGCACAACTGACAATAATCAGCAGCCTAGCAACATGGTAGCAGGGGATATCAATTCTGAAGGCGTGTGGTCTGCCTAACATGAAAAGTAAAAATTAAGCTACAGAGCACTGCAGCTCGTTGGTATGCTCTCATGAACAGCGACTACACAACTGTGAAGGTATGTGGCAAAAAAATAAAACTACAGTGTGTGTGTGTGTGTGTGTGTGTGTGTGTGTGTGTGTGTGTGTGTGTGTGTGTGTGTGTGTGTGTGTGCGCGCACGTGCCCGCGTGTGATGGTACAGTGTACACTTACGTTTGAGGCGATACTAAAGAGCCACATTTTCTATGTTATGCCCTTGTCGCGCCTCACTTTCGAGGTGTGCTGTAGTTGTGGCTCTTTTTTTTTTTTTGTAGATTAGGTTTCGAAAATTGCAATTTCACTAGGTTTTCATAACGTGCCCACTCGGATCTCTGCTGCAAAATTTTGCACAGAGCCTTCTGTACACCTACACTGTACATCTGAAGGACTTTTTGCTTTCCACGGTGCTTCTACTCATATTTTAGCTGTGGAACTTTGCATAACGGCTTCTCTACTTTTATAGAGAAGAGCCTTGTAGACAGCCTATAACGTTGTCGCAGTTGGCCCCTTTAATGACCTTTTAATGCACGAGAGTTGTGCAAGCGATGGTATTTTCGCGACTTTGATAACGCGTGCATGCACTTTAAGGGGAGGTGCGGGTCGAAAAACGCGAGTTTTCTTCAAAATGACCGCTTTTTTTTATTTTCGCCTGTTTTGATAAGATTAGTACCTCTACCTTTCTGAAAAAAAATGCATGTCAAGACTTGACTGGAAATGCTTTAAAGTGGAAATGCTTTAAAACGTTCAAAGTGGGCAGTCTTCGAGCACCTCGTCGCCGATAACGTGCCGCCGCTCGCCTATTGTCGATCACATGAAGGCGAAGAGTCGAGGCTCACTGTTCAAATAACGACAGTTTCCGTCGCTGATGCGGCTCAAGAAATAATAAAAAGAGCACGCTTTCGCGTACTTCGGGTGCCGCAACTGGCTTATCATGTGCTTCAGATCGGGGACCGCCACTGGCCGCTACGCGGCTTTATGTGCTGTGAAGCCTACTTGCGGGGTCCATGTCTTGATGAGCAGCGCAGCTTAACAATGCTTTTCTCGTGTATATCTCTGTTATGAATGAAAAAAGCCATTCTTCATGCGTGAAAGCCATCGTGGCTATGCGCTCTGTAGGAATAGGCTGCGGAGCAGCTGATCCGATTTGTGGCAGTTGGCTTACAAAAGCCAATGCATCAAAAGTCATTCACAGCCATCAGCCGGAAAGCCCGTGATGCGGCAGTGGATGACGTCAGCGTCAATCTTGCTAGGTCAAAGAAACTTAGCGGGGACAACATTGCCATTATGTACGACGGTATGTGGCACAAACATGGCTGCAAAATGGCATCAGCACTGTTGTGTCCCTTGACACTAGACTTAGTTTAGATTTCCAGTCCTGTCGAACTTCTTCCTAGCTTGCAGTCAGCACAAGGCTCGGCCAGGTGGAGCAGAAGAAGTTTGGCAAGCGTTTTATGGCCCTGTCTGTGAGCGAAATATCTGTGACGAGTCGGCTCGAAAAAGCCAAAAGGGACAAACTTATGGTGCTGGCGCATTTTAGTGGCAGTGGCCACTACAAGGAGGATTGTTCTTTTTGGTGTGTAAATGTCATTGCATTTAACAACATCTTTCATAAACAAACACTCATTTTTAACTTTCAAACTCCTTTTCTCAAAACACAAATTTTGCCATTTTTTTAATGTGCCCCTCCTTTTTCGGGCACTAGTGTTCGGATCTGCATGAAATATTGCCCAAATTTTTTCCAAAATATGACAAATTTGCGGGGTCCTCTTTCTTATATATATTAATGATCTCCCAGACAGCATTAACTCCGCTATAAGGTTATTTGCAGATGATTGTGTAATTTACCGCAAAATAAACAATGAATATGATAACCAATTTCTACAGTCAGACCTTGACACTGTCTCAACCTGGTGCAATAAATGGCTTATGACTCTCAACTCTAACAAATCTAAATGCATGTCAATAACCCGGCGATCTATTTCTCCCCCCTGTACCTACAGAATTAACGCCGTTCCCCTCCAGCATGTCTCTTCATATAAGTACCTCGGCGTTTACATTACCAACAATCTATCTTGGCACACGCATGTTACCTACATCTGTAATAACGCTAACCGAACGCTAGGATACTTACGCCGCAACTTTTCTCGCGCTCCGCTGTCCCTCAAAATTCTATTATACCGATCACTAATTCGCCCAAAGCTTGAGTACGCGTCCGCTATATGGGATCCCGTGCAGCAAAATTTAATTAACGCGTTAGAATCTGTTCATAACCGCTCAGTTCGGTTCGTTTGTTCTAATTATTCCCGTACTGCTAGCATATCAGAAATGAAATCTAACCTTGACCTACCCAATTTAACTGTCCGGAGGAAACTGGCGCGACTGCATTTTTTTCATAAGATATTTTTTCACAATCCATCAATGAAGCGAGACCTCATTGCACAACCGTCATACCACTCATCGCGCATTGATCATCAGCATAAGGTTGCCATTCCGTTTTGCCGCACCAAATTCTTTTCAGCAGCCTTCTTACCGAAAACAGCCGCCGATTGGAACCACCTTCCCTCTTCCGTTGTATCAATAACATACCCTTTGTTATTCAAGACTGCAATTTCTCAGCAATGCTTGCAACTATACGCAGTTTCCATTATCTATCTTTGTCTTGTATGTGCTTGAATTCTTATACATTTTTAGTTGACTTATGTTGCCTTCCTGATTTGTGCATCTGATACTTGTTTCTTTATTTTGTCTTTTTTTCTTGTGTGTTATATATGTTGTACCCACCCCCTCTGTAATGCCCTACAGGCCCTGAGGGTATTCTAATAAATAAATAAAATAAATAAATACAATTATTTAATTTAAATTTCAATATTTTATTATATAATAAAAATTGTATGTAAACCTTTACTAGGGTGGGTGAAATATGGACTTTTTTACGTCTATTATTTTTCCCGCCTATTACTTATTTTGTATGTGCTTCCTTATTAGCTACTTACATTCCACACTTTATTTGAAACATTTTAAACTATGAATGGTAAAAAATTACGGAAGTTTAGAGATGAAAAGAGGATGGGAGGGGGCAAAAAGTTCACTTTGTCTTGTCGCAGAGCTGAAAGTATGCAACTTGCAAGAAAACTAATTATATGTTTGAAATCAGCATACTAAGTTCCATAAACAGCTCAAGTTTCATTGCTCTAGAGTTAATATTAAAAAAAAAAGTGTCTTCGAGTAGCATCTCCCCTTAAAAGCTCTTTTATTTCACCTGCCAAATTTGAAGGGATCTGAAGACCAAGTACGGCGTAAGCAGCATTCCCACCCTCATCGTTATCAAGAGGGACGGCACCGTGATCACTGCCAATGGACGCAACGACATCCAAGCCGAGGGTCCGAGGGCCTTTGTCAAATGGGCCGGTGCAGCATAAGATTGCCGTGCCTGACCTGCCATTTCTGAACTGTAGCCTTTATTTTTCTTTTTCGCCTTAGCAGCCTAGACTGGCCGGCTCTATATGAGATTATGCTTCCAACTTAATAGTTAGTTAGTGTTGCAGGAAAAAAAAAGAAGCGTTCTTCAGCGCAGCTTGTTAGAGTTGTGCTTCTGGAACCGGATCGACTTCCTTGTCCTCCGTCTGGTTGACAGTACATGCTAGTATATTTTCTTTTTCTGAGCTTTCTTATAGAAGGCGACCACTTAATGGATGCAATGGTTGTTTGCGAATGTGTTAGTGGGAATATACATTCCTACAACTGTATGTTAGTGCATTCTATTCAGCTGCCAAGGACACTCAGGGGGTGTTGTTAACAATTATGCAAACAGGGAAGGCATTTTAAAGTGGACATTTTAAAGTGGCACAGCCGAAACAGCTGATGTGCTATGATGCATTTGTGATTGTGGGCAGCTTTGCGGTGATAAGATACACGAATGCCCATACAGCGAGTGAGCAGAGGCATGTTATAATACACAACACAGTCCTAGAGAAGTTGCTGCCACACTGTGATAGTCTTGCTCATTTTCAGTTGCGCCGTCATTGTTTCGCATGATGCACAAGGTCGCATGTCTTCAGTCGTAACGGCAAGACAATGCCTCATTCGGTGTATTTGGTCCACTAGCTCAGCCAATGATCAAAAGTAACGCCCATTTTCTGTTGCACTGTGACCAAAAAAAAATTTGGAGACTACGGATGTTCGGTTTTTGTTATGGCAGTCATCGCACAATACCATTTTTCCTTCTTTTTTTTCTCGAGGTATATTCTTGAGAGTTCTGCGGGTATTCTGCCTTACCTTTCAAAAGTATAAACCTTGCGTGTTGCTAGGTGCAACCCAAACTAGCCCAAACATGCTTTGCATAGTTATTCAGTATATCAGTACTATAACATACTATACATATACATATATACATCTGTGACAATATATTTACTTTCAGGGAGTTGTTAATGTATGCTTGTTATAACCCACTTTGTTTTGCCCAAAGAAGTGCTTTGTTCATTTCCTTATATAAAAATTTCAACCTTCCTTTTCCATTATTTTTTCATAATATACTTATACTGTGTTAATAAACTGCCTTTTGCAAACGTCTTCACGAGTTGCCTCTGTTCTTGAAGACAGAAGTTTGTTGCCTTTGAAACGTTGACTTTGATTCAGTGCGAACTTGGCTAACAAAATGTGCAGCGTGCTGCTAATAAGCACAATAATTAGCAGAACACAACTACGTAGCTGTAAAGATAAAAAAATGTGTAGCAAGAAATGATAAATAATGTCGCCAGTTTTTGTGCAATGTTTAACGAATCGCACGAAGTTGCATATATTGATTAGCAAATGTCAAAGCTCAGGGGAGTGGCCAGCGAGAACGTCTATGTGCCCAAATTCTAGAAAAGGGCGAGTAAGTGCGGTTAGAATGTTTTCTAAAAAATGATAACTCCTGGTCGAAAGGAACCGTGCTAAACCCGTCATTTCACAAAAGCTATTATAGCATCGCTCGAGTTATAAAATATGGAGGGGTCCATACGTGTTCCATAAGTTCATATAAAAAATATAAAGTGAAAATATTACTACATACCACTGGCATCATGATCAACAAGTCGAAGAGAAGAACGACAAAGATAGATACACCAGTTATCTTCTTTCTTTTTTTCTGATATATTAAACTAATTAGTTATTTTAAAATTATCTATTGCTAAACACTATGAAATATTAAAAACTATTCTTTCATATAGCAAGGCACCGCTCATTTTATGGCCGATACTTCATGGTGGGTTGCACCTGGTGTACAAGGTCGATCAACCAACCAGCGTCGGCAGGGCTGCAGCTCTAAAGTTGTGAATATATATACATGCGCATTCCCTGAAGTCTGTTCCTGTTCAAAGTCTGTCTTTCCCGTAACAATATATTCAAGGGGATACCAGAAATGTTCGATATCTGCAATAATTCATTACATGCGGGTACGATAAATGCAGGCACACCTCTATTCCAACTAGAAACCACTTTGCAACATTGCCTGTTGACCCTTTCTGAATAGAATCATGCTATAAACATGAAGAATTATGACCGCTTAACATATTCATAACTTTCGAATTTCTATCAAGTTGGAAGCACCCTTTTTTACATTTCCACCATAGAGCACTACCCCTTAAAGGGCCACTCGCCAGGTTTGACAATTTTGAGCTGACAAACGCAATGCGTAGACGAGGCGTTCATGATCACGTCTGCCAAACTTTGCAACGCTATGCGCCGCAAAAATTGGTCAAATTTCAAGATGAAAGCTGCTTCCCCTCCCCTCTGTCGGGGCCCGCGTAGAGAATGAGGGCATGACGTAGACGTAGGAATGGCCCTATGTACACGGCAATGCAGTGACGTTGGTCTTCTACGTAGACGAGTCTGCTCTGACGTTGTCGACAGTGTACCACGTGACATGGCAAAAATTATTAAACACAGCATGCGTAGTTTATGTATTTGTTGCTTTAAGAGATTAATAAAACTTGAAATAAATAATGAGATGCAATAAAAAATTGTGCACACTTTTCTTACAGTTTTTCCCGTGAAATGCTACGAGATGCGGGGCTAATGTGTCAACGTTTCGCATGCGTTCGGGTCCCCGCGGTCAGCGCATTGAGCAGGCGACCGCCGTGGAACGCTCCTACGCGTTCGCACACTCATTGTGCTTATCTATTCTACCGCGTCTAAGCCAGCGTTTCCAAACAATCCCGCAGAAACAGGCAGAAGACCACAAAATAACGCTGGTCAACAAAGCAACGCTGCTCGCGTTCTCGGGGGTTGGACTTGTTTGGGCACGTCAAGCGCACGTGACCTCATCGTCGGATGCTGGAGAGGGTGGGGAAGAGATTTGGCTTGCAAAGGCTACGCGGAGGAACGGCAAGCGTTTCGAGCTCGCCTCCTCTCATCCTCGTTCGTGCCGCTTCTAAAAACCTGTTTTCTCCGCTCGTGATGAACCGATCCGAAAAATTTTTGTGGCAAAATGTTCTTCATCGGACACCCAACTACTTCCACTGCCTAACTAAAATTAGGTATGGGGCCTGGTGAGTGGCCCTTTAAAAAGGCAACTCTTAAGTTAACATTGATTGTAGAAATTGAGGTCCACAAACCTCGTAGTGTTACTTTTGTGCCAAGGAAGTGCTTATTTTAACAAAAAATCAAGGTTTAGTGGTCTGAATCACGCTAGCATACTTCAAATCTCCTGCCTCAATGGAAAGTCTACCGTCACTGTTGCTCTGCATAACGTTGCCCAGCTTTACTGCGCAGCCGCTATCACTAGTAGCAGTAGTGCTGCAGAGCGAAAGTAGCAAGAGCTACAGCAGCAACAACGGCCATTGATAAACGTGTTTTGGTTCAACTGTGCCCCGCTAGATGGCACGACCTGTCCAGTGTAAACACGTGAGAATTGAATTTTTGAACCACTCGCACCATCTACTAAGTAACGTCCACAATTTTTTTTTCATGAATAAAACAAACGAACAAGCAGCATTTAATTACGTCTCTTTATGAACGGAAGGTTCTCTATTTCGTGTAGCTAGTTCAATTACTAGTGAATAATTATAGGCAGTACTTCTGATGTAATATGGATCATTTCGCAAAAGTTCTATTGTAGCGCATGTGTTCTCCTGCATTCACCTTAATTTCTAGATAAGTACGGCACTGTTGTTGACAATTTTGTTGTAGACATTGTCATACATTGAGCTTTCACACTTACATAAATTATTTGACTTTTGTGTCCTCTTCAGAAAGTATTATTCACACCATAGTCATTAAATTTCAGATTCCTGGTTGGAAAAATCAGGTTAAGCACCTTTCTAAACATTGCTGCCATAGTACACCACGCACTTAGCAAAATTTATTCACCACAGTGTAGTCGTGACTTCAGCCATTGGTAAGCTTGAACCCATTCTCGCATTGACCTAGTATTTTGAAAATGCATAATAACTTTTCCCGACACACTTTCAGTGACCAGATTTGTAAGGAACACATTTCAAGTCACCATACTAATGTCACTTCAAAGCAGCAGTAATGTGAACATACAAAGATAGAATACCAAATGCGAGTTCACTACGTCTTCCAAGATGTACACACTAGAATGCGCATACTATTTACAAAACCAGCAATACGTATAGCTGCAGGGCAGAATACTGATTGAAAGAGAAAAGCATACCAGCAGGGGGCATAGCGGGTGAAGGGCTGTCTTGTACAACAACACTTTCAACTTCAACCAAAACACCTCTGCTTTCTTAGTGTTTGCAACTTCATCAGTGTAAAATAAATACTATTTTATCGTACCTGATTCGCATTCATGCCCAAGAAGTTAATGCGTTTTAGGTTTCAAGCAGTCGAAATTTAATGCATAAAATACTATAAGTGAAAAAGAATGCATAAAGTTAGACAATAACGCAAGCATGGTAGCTGTGGGTATGTAAAAAGAAGTGTGCGAATATTCAAAATTTCAATTATTCTGCAAATAGTGCTTGCTATTCAATCAGATTCACACCGAAATATTATTAGTCGAACTTACTGAAGATGCACTCAATATAAAATTAAACAAACCTCTCGAGATTTTCAATATACTTCAACCTGCCACGCTTTCATATTGTGGCAAAGCTGCATTTCAGGCTCTGCTACTATTGCAAACGTATTGATTCAAGAGAATGCTAGTTCCAGCACGCAGATGACAGATGTGGCAATAGTGGGGACTCACTCAACACTATTATAAACCTGAAATTTGGGCAGGAAGAGCGGGGATGCTGCAGATTCCAAGCATCTAAAATTTCGGATGTTTTTGTATATTGACGTCTACATAACAGAGTGGGAACTCCGGACCTAAAGGGAGCACACCCTTGTCCGCCCCATCAGTTGGGCTTCCACAGAAGTGTAAAGAGCAGGACAGGCTGAGGAAATAGCATTTTTGCCTTTTACGGGTAAAGTGTTGTTGGCAACCCTTTGGCTGCAGCAAATCATGTACACAAGTACAATTCGGCCTCTGTATCGCCTCATTCACGACAAGATAGTTATGAAACACCCCGCCAGAGCTTCAATAACCTAGGCAAAAGAAACGCTTTCATGCTGCTATCTTATATAGGAATTTGCTGAAGAATCCTCTACAACTTTTTTTTCTGCAATTTTGATTTGTAGTATTCTTAAATACTTCTAAAAATATTCAAAAAATATTCTATTCAATTTGCAGTCACACTTCAATAGCACAATTCACTTCACATTCAATATTTTCTATTTGCACAGCTCTAGCAAAAATGCATTGGTGCGTAACTTTCTGAAACTTCCTATACAACAATATACCTATTAAGCAAAACCAAAACTGGCTTCACTGAATTGAATACTGCAAAATGTCTTGCTTGATAATTGCTACCTTCACTGCAGTAAAGAATGACTCTCTCCCTGATACTCTCTAGAATAGAACTATAGCTGAGGGGTTGACCTCTTGCAACCCGAAAATAGCACCATAAAAGACGTAATGAAAGTCTGATAAAGAAACACCTTTAAAAGGTAATAATGGTTCTACAGGAGAGAGAGGTTAATGAAGATGAGTTGAATGAACGAAAGGTTTAGTTTCTTAAAGAGATAGTTGAAGAGGAGGAGTAATAAACTTTATTATAAGAAACCAGCAGGTTTAGGTGGCTGGGCCTAGGCCTCCCATGAGGGCACGTCAAGGGCTTGCCTCGACACCGCCTCACGGGTGTGCTGGGTCGCCCAGATATGGTCGTCAAGAGCGGAGCTCCGCAGAGCCTTATGATTAAAACATAATTAAAAGGGCAACATAAAGCACAGAAAAGTGCCTAAAGGACATCCATAAGTGACCCTGAGAAGGTGATGTTTGGTGGGTACTGTATGTAGTGTACAAGCTCGCGGCAAAGAAGGACTATACTTACCATAATTAATGCATAATTAGAATTAATTAAGAATCTTTTCAGACTGTGGGATGACTAAAGCTTTACTGAAAAAAGATCTAGGAAGACTGGGTTACAGAGGTAGTTCAACAACAGACTACAGAAGTGTACTGTACCAATCGTGTCAATTGGGTGCAATGGAAAGCGGGCGTTGCTTGCCCCCCTTTCCGTATAGAATAGATAGATCTGTGAAGACTGGGTTTAAGATGTAGGTACAAAAGTAGATTACAAAAGTAAACTGCATCCATCCTGGTAATAGATGGCAAGGGAAAGGAGGCATCACTTGCTACCCCAAATAGTGGCGTGTGCCACTCCCTTCGCTCTTTTGGGCAGCACTGGCCACACCCGTGTGCACTCTGCTTTGTGCCATGCGTTTTATCAGGCGTGTAGTGCGCACTTCTCGTTGCGCTCTAGTGACGACGCTTGCTTGGGCAGATGCATTCGAACACGCAAGCTTGGCCGAATTCCTTAGGAGTAATACATAGGACCAATACACTTGTACTGGATTAGATGCTCTCCGTTCGGGTACGACGAAGGTAAAGGATGGCTGACAACCAGGTTTTAGCAGACTGTGTCCATTAGCACGATCCCCTAGCTTTCAGAAGGGCCCTCAAAGATTACCGAAACTATACGCTGCACACAGAGTTGCTTTCGCATGAAGATAACCCAGCTAGTGACATTACGTCCCATACGTGCAGCTGACGCACATTTTTTTTTTTCCAGTGTTTTTTTTTTTTTACTACTTGTTCTTTCTCACTATTATTGAAGTATAATTCGTGAACAGTGCTTTACTACATATTTTCCTGCAGCATCTATTACACACAAAAAAATAATAAAGCTGTCGGACAAACATTTCAGTCACACTTCTTTAACAATTTGTACGGTGTGAACCGTTCACCGTTCGAAATTGTGCACTTCGTCAAGGGGACATCTTTCTACTAATCCCTATTATGAGACAGACTCACTAGACATAAATAGACCATTGATAAGATTTTTAAAACTTTTTAATTATAAACATACGAACATCACGATGGGAGCCTCGTTCCCTCAAAAAAAAAAAAAAAGATTGCCTAACAGACATGTATGTATCGAAATTAAATCGCACGCTTGTCGTGAGTAACAGGCTGGATGCTCGTGACAATAGTAACGGAGCATTCACACCGATTTAAAAGTCACGCAGACAAATCCCATGAACGATATTAAATAACATATAGTACAGCATAAGCGACAATGCCTTTGCAAAAGGCATAATGAACTTTGCATATCTGAACAGAAACATTATGGCTATAGAAGGCGTGTTATGACAACCACAGCAACATTTTGGTCCTCGTCTATCATCATGAAGCAAGCCACCTGCAGTATCGCTAATGCTTTCCTATCAACTCAATAAAGCCTGGGCTGGCATAACCACAAGCTATCATTAGTCAGGTAGTCTTTACGTAAGAGCATTGGCTAAGCTTTCAAGACGAGCAAATATTATGATAAATAGGGAAATACAAGATAAATAGCGTCATCTGAAGTCTAGCTGCAAGCACAAAGCGAGTACATGATCGTTTACTTGTGGTATTAGGACTATTTAAACACCGAATTTTTTGTTTTAAGTTCACGCTGGGCAGTACTGTCGATGCGCTGCAATGTAAGCTCGGTACATCTATCACGGGGCCCGTAACAGCGTTCATCATAGGATTCCTGTGTTGCATTTTGGGTGCCAGACCTCAAGACGTTCCGAACCCACCGTAGCCAGCGTTCGGCCATCGAAGTGGAACTGCACAAGAAGAGAAGTTGCGAGAAAGAAGCAATAGAATTCAAGCATGTTCTCGCGTTTGACTTATTATATGCACCACAGTGCTCTGCAGAAATGGCTATGTGGGATCAATACTTACTAAGTATCAACGGTTAGTTTCTGCTTCAACGAGACACTTTTCACATTCATTTGTACTCATACTAGTGCAACGATTACACAGCCTCACACAATAGAATTCAGCAGATCCTGCGTACCTTTGGAATCTATGTTATGCGAAGCATGCGGACGGAAAGTGACTGTGTTGTAATTTTTTTATCGAGCGAAACATCACGAAGTGACGCTAGATACAAATGCGCGCACAGACATATGTTAAACAGCTGCATATGTTTTATATAACCAGTTGTTTACGGTTGCATAACAATGCAAACGGCAACATGAATATAAGGAAGAAAATGAAAGGTAAGCTGATATAAAGTGCTGGTGCTAGCGAGGATGGTAGCCCTAGACACAGGCTACATAAATCAACTTGAGAAGGATGATGCCTGACACCAATCGACGTTAACACAATGTGATGGTTTTATCAGAAGTACATATGTAATGTTTATACAATTGGACATGCCGAAACAATAGTATTTTTTAACAATGTACTACTTTCAGCATACCGAAAGTGATGATTAATTGATATGTGCAGTTTGACGTCCCAAAACCACTATATGATTATGAGAGACGCCGTAGTGGAGGACTCCCGAAATTTCGACCACCTGGGGTTCTTTAACGTGCACCCTAATCTGAGCACACGGGCCTACAATATTTCCGCCTCCATCGGAAAGCATACCGAAAGTGAGCACACCGATAGTGAGGCTAAGTACTAATGGCCGTTTAGTCCACAGCAAGCAAGAAAAGATGCCTCTCGTGTGCAATAAGGCATAAGTAGGACTCTCTTCCTGCAAGATTGACGCAGTGTAGTGGCAAACAGTGTGCATGGGAACTGTGCTGCATAAAGGCCGATGCTCCATGAGCCACAAAAATTGTGGCCCATGCGACCGTTTACGCAGACATTATCATCTTTTGCTCGTATCGTGGCTCGCAAAATTTACACCATGATTTCCGTGCACTTGTTACAAACGGTGCTTGCGAGCGTAGAGCTATTAGTGTTTCACGTGCTCTGTCACCACAAGTCTGCAAATTGCACTAATTACAGGGTGTAGACTATACGGATAAAAGTCTTTAGTGTGACTCTCATGCGAGTGTTTCGTTTCTCAAGGACTCTGAATGTGTGAACGCAGTATGCGATCTCGTCTAAGTCAATGACCTCGCCAGACCCTAGGCCAGTGTCACGCATTGAATTATTCGTGCAAATTCTCAACATGTTCTCTCTGCAAGGAGACTAAAAACATTCACAAATGGTTCCACTATACTTGTCTTCCAATAGGAACACTGGATATATTGTCTACAATATTCGGTTTTTGGTCAGAACCTGAGAACCAATGTTGCTGTACAAGGACCAGGGGTCTGAAAAGGGTAAATTAAGTGCTAATGGGGATAGGATGGAAGCAGGTCCCATTCAATCTGACTGTGCACGGCAACCCTAAAATGCTCCCTGGTTTCCGAAGAACCCAGTTTGAGAACTCATGCTATAGAATGTTGACCACGGTTTGTCCTTGGTCCAACCATCCCACACCCAAAAGGCACCCAGATGCTCACCCGAGTCACTTGCTGCCACTCGGGACCCCAGGCAATGACGGCGGGGTCAAGCGTTGGCTCCAGGGCAACCATGGGCACTCCGACAAACGACACGAGAACGCTACCCAAGGTGTGCTGGATGCTGGACACCATGCCGCGAGGTTTCGACGGAGGCACGTCCATTGTCTGAAGTTGGAGCAAGAGTTGACTCATTACAAGCACTTTTCAAAATTGCCAACACCCGAACCGGATTAACATTCGGTCATTGTAGCAACGAAGTGACGTAAGACTAAAAATACCACCTTCCTTATACACTTAAGGTTAATAAGTGCCTGCAATGAGTTTTCATCAAACTTCGCTACCAAAATAAGCAGCATCAAGCTGCATGACCTCTTTCAAAACTATGTTTAGCCATCTTCATTAAGTTTGCCTCGCATGTCGGATTTTGCCATCCTTTTCAGTCTTCAGCACCGGCTTCCTTTTTCTTTGTATGTTTTATTTCCAAAGTGTGCTTTATTATATACATAGCTGCGGTGCCTTCCTTTTTTTTTTACCCATTTTGTATCATTACTAGCACGATTTTATATTTCAGATTTCATTATTTATTTAATTGGTGCTAGTTTTACACTTACACTACACACATGCAAGCACACGGCACAGCTAATGCCGTGTTTTCCTCTAACAATATCCACGGTATTGTTAAGTTTATCTGCATTGAATCTGTACCCCCATATGTAATACCCTCAACCATAGGGCCTTTGTGGTTAGCCTAAAAGAATAGGTAGCTACACAATGTTCACTGGAACACTACATTTGCAACATATTAGCAAGATATGTTTCACTAGAGAGTTTTCAAACAGGGCAACCCAAAGCTTTACATTGTGTTACGCATGCATCGAGTGCTGACTTCTTACGGGCTCCCGTTGACTGACACTAATGCTACACCCGCAAGCTTTGCGTACAGTGTTCTAAAACTCTCTACTCGCTTCACTATATCTGCGATCTTTACATAAAGGTTGGAATTAGTTCCAAATAGCTAGGAACCTTTCCTACCTTGCAATTTCAGTACAAGAACGTATCTGCATATCACCTGTATTGGATTGTAATCAGTGCAGTTAGGGATTGAGCATCCAAAACCTGCTCGCAGCTGAAAAACGCCAAGGCCACTTAGCTGCCGAATTGGTAGCTGGTGTGAGCAGGACCAACAATCGATCACCGTTTCCTTATTAAGGCTACTGGTTTGCAAGCACCAACAGTGGCTTACCTGGACGATCTTGGATGGATTTGATTTCATGTCGACTGTATGAATGGTTCCGCTCCGCATCCCGACCCAGAGTTGATTCGAGTCGAAGGACAAGGCGGTTGGGTTGTTCTGCTTGAAACGCTGCATGGAGAAACAATTTTCGAAGACTCTTGAAAACAGGCTATGTCCAATGCAATAAAGGCATCATTCATGCCTTGCTATGCATATGAACTGTCATATCAAAGTTGAGCCATACACAAAAGTATGTTTCTTATGTCTCATGTTCATCACAAATGTTCATATGTATACATTTTGCTTTTGTAGTAACAAGCGAATGCTTTATATACTACACCCAAATCTCGATATAAGGAATCTGGATATAACAAAACATCTGTTATAACGAAGTAAATGAAAGATAGTCTCGTAGTTGATTTAGTGTTAAGAATAAACCTTTATAGCAAACTTTCTGATATAACAAACTTATTTTCATGTGAGAAGCAAGTTTGTTATAATGAGGTTCGAGTGTAGTGATCTCCGCCGCCGACGGCTGCGGGCGGTCGTCGTTGTCGTCATCCGAGCCGCTCTCCACAAAATTCGATGCCGCAGAAAGCCGCTGCGAAGCACACAACGTCTCGACGCTACGCGACACAACACGTGCAGAATGGCGACTGAAAAAAGCTGCAACGACAATAAAAGAATCCTTCTTTCGCCTCCTCCCCGTGCGATGTGATGACGATAGTGCTGACCGAAGACGAAAAAACGGCATCCATCACCGCGTCTTTTAAAAAGCAAACACGGCCTCCGAAACTTAAAATATGGCGTGCACATTCCAATCTCGGAGGCAGGAAAGGCATCTGAAGACCAAGCTTAGCCAAGCCGACGGAAAATCCAACATGGCGGCGTTCACAATGGCTTGGGGCGTGGCACAAAACGAGCGATTTAGCCAGAAAAAATCAAACTTTCAGGGGCAAATTCGCCCAAAAAATCGGTCGAAACAATGCATTAGCTCTACGGGATCCCTGACGGTGCATTTATGAAGTCCGGAATATCCAACAAGTCAGAATTTTTGGAGTCCGGAAAATCGGTCGGCGACTGTAGTTCATATACACTGTAACAGCCGCAAGGCAATTTTGATTTGGGTATTTCAGTGCACTGAGTAACAATTCTTACCTGCACTCGTTAATCTAAAGTACCGTGTACTTCAGTATAACTATACAATGTAGTTTACTGTATTGCTAGCTACAGAGTGAAATAACAGACAAATGAATGTTTAGTGATTCTCAGTGAGGTTTTACTTAACCTGCCTTTCCCTCAACACACACTGTATACGACAGCAGAATAAAAAAAATGACAATACATGGGCAAACTTTTCGAAGTTTGGCAGCATTCAATGACATTTGAGTAATCTAGGTGCAGCGCTTAAAAATATTTGGCGTCAAACCACTTTGATGAAAGTTCTGCAAAAGCCCGGTTTAGAAAAACAAAGATTGTGCAGTATGAACGTGGTATTTTGTTCATTCGGGCATTCTCCGCTAACAGACCACCTCTTTCATGCATCAACTAAGGTTTGAATTTTCAGGTTCATTCTATTAATGTTGATGTATAAATGTTGAGATATTACTTCTTTTTACTTTGCCAGTAGTCAGCTAGTGCGAACTTTGGCACATAAGCATTAACAAAGAAACTACAGCTTACTGCCATTTTTTACTTCAATATACACTCAAACCTAACTACAACAAAGTTGCATCCTACATGAAAATAAGTTTGTTATATCCAAAAATTTGTTATAAAGATGCACACGTAACACTGTATCTATTGCAAGACTATCCGTCATTTACTTCGTTATAACCAACATTTCGTTATACTTCGAATTCGTTATATAGAGGTTTGAGTCTATCCCTTTCAACATCGTCACCGTCAATAATTCGGTGAGCAATAGGTGCAAAGGGAGGGAGGGGGCGGAGCTTCTTAGGCAATAAATAGAAAAACCTATCCCTCTTGTATTCGTAAATTATCCTTCCATAGCACCAAAAAACACCAATCCTACTATAAAGACAGGCAGCACAAAAAACTCAGAAATAACAACATAAAAGAAAAGATTGGTGGGGATAGGAGTTTCGGTGTTTTCCCTCAACATGATATGAAAGGACTTTAGTGAAGCCTACGCAACCCTTTGCCACTACAAATGAATCACATTGCATTCTAAGGAAGTTTTAAAAGGTTTTGTAGTATGACCATGGCTACATATAAAAAATAAGTACATTCAAATAAGAGATATCAAGCCGACCTACCAGCATTCAGGTAACAGTGCCAAATTAGTTTACAAAATTTACCTTTCGCCTATGTTTTTTTTGTCTCTCACATTGCAATTTGAAAATAGAGATAATACACAGTTGTACATAAACAGAATGAGGCCCCGAGGCCTAATCACCTTCGGCAGGACGTCCTACATACGTAAAATGAGTAAAAACACAAAGCGAAAAAAGCAAGGCAAATGAAAGAGAACATACGTTATATATGCAAACATATATAACCGCATTCAAATATGAGCTATTGATGGTCACAAACAGTGCTATTTCTCATGCTTTAAAGAAAATTTCAGGCATTCATAAACATTCGCAAGGAAATTAGAAACTACATATGTTCTAATAATAATGACCCTGTGATTGCAAACGCAATAGAGTTCTAAACAAATAATTATCAGTCAAAAACTAATATACTGCTGCATTTTAGTGTTGCTCTGTTAAAGTTGCACTTGAGTGTTGAAAGGGACTGCACTGCTTACTAATCCCATGTCGGGCCTGAGCTGCCTTGTGCGTCGATCGAAGGCGCAGAGCCGTGCCGTAACAGTGCCGGCGAGGATTGTTCTATCGTCCGCCGCCATGCAAGTGATGACACCCCTAATGGGGCCGTAGCATGGCGTTGGTTCAGTAGGTTCTCGGGGATCGTACCGGTATATGGTCCCGTCACAGCTACCGAGCACCAGTTCCCCGTCAGAGCGGCAGATTGTCGTCACTGGTGCTCGGACACTGCAGCGACAATGATTAAAACAAGAAGCAAGGTTACACAATGAACACAATGACTTTGAAGTTGTATTCGGTGTTAAAGTCCACATAGTATATAGGTTCATACATGTTCAGTGCAGAAAAATGTCTCATAATAATATTCTAGCTTACTTTTTTGTAATTATGTTATTTATAGATTGTATACGGACTGCTCTAGTTTATTAATATACTTCCAAACATGCTCCTTTCTTTTTAGAATCATGTTACGACCTCATTACAATGCAATCGCTGCCTTGAGCAAAGCGCGCCCGAATGAGTGGAAACTATATAAAACATTCTGATGAGATTATGTGCACAACGCCAACATCGGAGCTAGGCCCAAGGTAATGACCACATTTTTTTGGTTCGAAAGCTCCAATAATGACTTCATGTCCTCTCTTTATGAAAATAATAGCAGACGACTTCGCGATGACACCGAACGAAAAATGGCCGAAGTGCCCAGTGCTGCCGGCACAGTGTTGCCGATGCCAGTGTTGCCGGTGAATCAAGCGTAATGAATATCCCCTATTGAATGTTTCAATGGGCATATGTAAAACAAGAATATTCGTTCGAGGGAAGTAAAAATGTAGCAATAAAAAGGTTATGCATTTTGTAAACATGATAACATGAAGGACACACAACAATAGTTAACCACATGAAAGTTTTTAAGCGTGAAGAGGCATTTGCATTTCAGGATAGTGCAATCTGCACAAAATACCATGCCGTCAGCAGGAAAAAGTAGGACATGAAAAACTCACATGAAGGAGCCGATCGCACGAAGTCCACACTGGACGTCCCACAGCCTGCATTGTGCTGTCAAAGGAGCTGGTGAACAGCGTGGGACCCAAGTAGTGCAGGGCCCAAATCCAGCCCTGAGACAATGAAACAGGCTCAGCGCACAAAACAAGAAAGTTCATGGCACCCAATACTAGGTGCAATACTAAGAGCGATAACTAGCCAAACTAGCACAGCAGCTGCATTCTGAACATTGTTTTTCACATGCAGTACAACCTTCCATTGCATATGTAATTCCAGTGCTATTCGTGCTATCGTTAGCCAGCAAAACTGCATGATATTTTAGAGGACTTTGGAGTGCCCGTTCTCTCAGACACCATGTTTTTACCTACCATATTTTACAGTGTATAAGACACACCTTGTTTTCTATATTTTCGCTGGTGCATCCTACATATGCAAAAACTCGTGCGATTCTGCTAGACTACTTCGATATTTAATTTGTGAGTACGATGAACTGACTGTGGCAGCATTTGCAAAGAGATATTAAATCTTGTTATAACAATGAAGCGAAGTGTGGTTTCATTTGTCAGCTACTTGCCATTCAAGCACTGCAGCCATCACGAGAATTGCGGCCGCAATAAATGCCACCATCACGGTATTGCGTTGTTCGAATTATTTGTTCTTAAACAAATCATTAAATCCACAGAACTGAATCAATAAATAAAGAAGACAATCAAAATGTTTCATTGCAATGCTGTAGCAACCTCCATATCAGTTAGAGAAACGAAAGCACCACTTCTTTATTATCATCATCCTCGATTTCCACATGACGTTTCCTTTCAGTCTCGCAGTAGTCGCAGCTTCCGTCTTCTGGTCGCCTTTTACAATTTGTATGTGTGTGAGTGTAGATGTCAAACGAGTGGTGTGAATGCTGTTTATGTGTTCTTACCAAACCTCATAATGCCGTTTAGACACTGCCAATGATGTGCTCAAGGTGCTTTCAAAGCCGCGTAAAAGAGTTTTGGAGGACGACAACAGCAACCCCGTGATGCTGCCAACCAAGGCGGAATAACATGTGACAATGCATGGGAGGAAGTGGCTTCGAATCCAGCAGAATAAATATTGCTTTTCTGCACCTCAGCACAGCCTTAATTACAAGTTTTATACTCCTGCTCACATATAGCCAATGCCCTGTGTGACTACACTTTTTGCAACGAACGTACTCTGTGTGCGTCATGGTGCCTTCTCATTTTGACGGTGTCAAAAATAGGTGCCTCTTACACAAAGTTGCATCTTATATGTGATTTTTTTTCGTGAATGTCATAATAAGTAGGGGGTGCACCTTATACCCCGAAAGATATGGTAGGTTTTTTTGTCAACAGTGCATGAACAACATTACACTGTACATGTACAGTATTTTTCTTCCATTAACACTTTTGTGACTACACCTAACCCCATCGATAGTATGTTGTGGTATTTACGACATAAATATCTGCCCCCTTCCGAGCACTTGTGAACACATGGTGCCATCTAACGTGCGAAAGAAAAAGTGTTCTATCGGTTTCGCTTTTGTGTTTCTCTTTTTGCCCGCGTGGAGATATTAAAGCGCCAATCTACATGCGCGGGTGAGAGTGCATAATTTCAATGATGGCGTCGACATCACGTGTGACCACTTCATAAAAACGGCAAATTTCGGAGCATTATCATGCATCTGGGCTGGAATTTTCAAACAATGCCACCAGCACAGGCTCGGAAGACAACATCGACCCTTGTGATTTCAGAGCGGACAACGAGAGTTTGTCAAACCGGCCTGGGACATAAGCGGTCGTCCGCCGGTAAGTTCAGCTTTGTGCTCGGGCCGCGTTACGGGTGGCTGGCGCGCGTCACTGTAAGTTGATCTGATGCGTTCTGAAGGTTAGGGCTCTTAATTGCAAGGTGTCCACATCCTTTGGGCGGGACCACTTGCCGGCGGCAGTGCAGAGAGTGCGGTTTTGTGCGCGAAGGAAGCCGGGAGTGAACTTGGAACTTCGCTCTGTAGTGCCACGCGGCGCTTTGCGAGAGCTGTCGACTTTTTTTTATAACGTTCCCTCGACTACCCCCAACGGCTAAATTTCTCACAGTCACTAAAGTGTTACAGCCTTCATGAGAGCCCTCTGAACAGCAGAAAAAATACCAAAAAGCCCAAAAGTGGCCTAAATAATTGATTTCAAGATTTCTTTTATAGCAAGCATCGGTTTTGTTTCAGAGAAGGCAACAGGTGGCACATAACTACGAGGTTTTGAATTTCCTTCCGGCTTGTGCAATGTCTCTGATATCTACTCCAAGGGCAAAGCATTCTGGAGCAATGGAATACTTCTCCACAACCACACTATAACAGCAAAAACTCCTGAAAATGCAATTTGCTGTAGAAAATCTGTTATGTTAAAATACTTAGTCAAGATTAGTAGCATTTTTTTTCTCTGAAGTTTCGGGGCAGCAAAACTTCATTTGATGCTGAGAAATAAATAGTTGGAGATGTCATGCCAGTGCTCTGTTAAAATCTCTGTACACTTTTGTTTGTTTCATTTACTAAAGAAACTACTACATTCACAAGTAGGAAGTTGAAGCTGTCACTTGTGTTCGCCACCAGTGTGTGGTTTCGGCCACCGATATTGTTTTACTGGACAATGCATCGGTTACCTCACTGTTCCACACATCACACATCACAAAACATGTGTTGGAGTCCACGAGTGTTGAAGATTGGGCGAGTTGGTTCGTCGTACTTGAACTGGTATAGCGCATTACGGGGAAGAAGAAACGGCCGAGCAGACCGACAGCGCTCTGTCGGTCTGCTGTCGGTCTTTAGCGCTCTGTCCTCTTGTGTGGGTCTGCTCGGCCGTTTCTTCTTCCCCGTAATGCGCTATACCAGTTCATGTGTTGGAGCCTTGAAGCTTGTAATTATATATACTCAATTCCATATATAACTCATTTTGTGAAAATGGACGATTGGATTGATTAATTGGATTGAATTGACTGGATTGAACAGGATCAACGGAATGTACCTACATCATGTGCATCGGGCCTCGAATGCAGGAGAAGGTCATGCCCTTCAGCAACAGTGTCCTGGTCCCGAATATTCCAAACTTTCAGATCTCGGTCGCGAGATCCCGTGACGCATGCAGATCCATTCTGAAAAAGCGCATGCACAAATTGACTGATTAATTTCAATTTCTGACATCCGGGAAGAGAAATAAAAAAGGGAAAGAGCGAAGGCGAGGGTGCATTAATAAGAAAAGAAAAGCCGATTTGCTACGTTACACTATCTGCAGAAAATGAGAAGGAAATACAAATATAGAGTACATGGCACACATCCCTTGCTGTTCATAGCAAAAGATGATTAAATGTTGACGCTGGTATTTCTAAAGTTGCCAGTGCCGGCTTGTCATTGTTAATAATTATACTAGTGCACACACATTTCTCTGGTTTAATGGTTCATTGAAGTCAGTATTACCAAACATTTGTTGTATCAGCAGCCTGTCCTTACAGTGAACTAAACGGGTTGCAAGATATCTGTATAATCGACCACGAAAGTTTACAGACCACGTGAGAGCGTGGTCAGAAGCCTCTTCGCCACACTTCTGCTACGTAAGCGGCGATTGGCGGCACCGCAGCGCTCATGAAGCATTCCTTCATTAACCTATGGCCGGTCTGTTTTCCGAGTGGCACAAATAATTTTCATTTTTCACTTTTCATCATGCCGCACTTTTCGGCATTTGACGGTGCACGCGCTCGTTGGCATGCGCTCGCATGGCCCAAAAACTTTTGTGGTTGAACATTGAACAGTGTCACACAATACTTGTCCCAAACGGTCTCCTTGTGACACAGTGGTCACAAACAACATCACTTCTTCCAGTGTAAAGGACTATAAATAAGTGTAAGGGACTAGTAGTATGTACTTTTGTACTAGCCATAGAATTTGTAGGGATTCTCTAACACCCTGCAAAGCTCAACCATACACAAGCCGCCAACCTATCCCTTATCAAAGGTGGCAACGCTTCCTTTACCCAAGCCAGTGTTGAAAATGCTGATGCACCGTGAAGTTGATACCTCAAGCCATGGACACTTATTGTATCGCGATTTGCATGCACAGCTCTTTCGCTTAAAACGTGGTTGAGAGTGCTGCAACATGGTCCGAGGTCAGCAAAAACTGTCGAGCTCACTCAGACTCACTCATTAAATGTATTTGGGGCTTAGAGCTCGCTCAGGCTCAGACTCGCGAAAATTTACTGCGCCAAACTGAACTTACTCAGACTCACATTCGCTAAAATTTTTTTCAACGGTACTCGTGGCTCAATCCAAATCTGAGTGAGTTCAAGTGAGTCGCTTCATGAGTGTGTTAGCCTAGAATTACCGTTTTTTTTTACCATGGTGTCAATGTTATTAACCCCAATATCTCAAATAATCAGCACTCTTCTAGGCACCTTCTGATATTGTACCAAGAGTACAAGTTACTAGTTGCTACAAACTGCTTAGTACATTTTTCTTGGCAGAGCTGACCACATAGGGCATATTTATCACCACTTCCCTGGAATAGTTGGAGCTGGGAAGGCCAAGGCACCACTACATAACTCACGCAAACCTGGATCAGTAAATACAAATGGTGTAGGAACAATACTGCTCGGGAATACTCGTGAGCACACGTGAGTATAAAGGTTAATTCAAGTAAAGCAGAGAGGAATGATGAAAATGAGTAAATAGAACCACAGGTCAGCGAAAAAAGTGGAACACACTCAGACTAACTCGAGAAATATATCTTCGCTTTTTGGACTACCTCAATTGAGACTAATAAAAATTTTCCAGAGCCGTACTCACTCAAACTTAAAACACAAAAATTTTCAACCGGACTCACTTCTACTCGAACTCACCAAAATATAACCCACCCAGACTCACTCAGGTTAAGATCCGTGACTCAATCCAAGTTCGAGTGAGTTCGCCGACCTACGACTTTGGTAGTGCATGATGCAATCCCGCGGTTTTATTTCATGCCTAGCGAGCTTTACATTAAGCAATAAAGAGCAATATACAGTAGACTCTCAGTAAATAGAAATCTGTTAAACGGAACCGCTGCTTAAATGGAACAAGTGGTTCTTCAAAGATTGGTTTCGTTCTTGTATTCTGCACACCTGGTCATCTCTCATTAAACGAAACTCCTCTTAAATGGAACATATTTCCTTGGTCCGCCCAGGTTCTATTTAACGAGAGTCCATTGTAAATATACCCGGGCCATCACCCCATGACAGCAAACCATACATTGTTGGTTTCATTCATTTGTGGTTAACCTCTTCTTTTTTGATGTTTGGTTCTTGTTACAAGACGCTTTCGCATTTCACCCAATCAAAGTGCAGCTGCAATGGCTGGAAATCAAACCTTAGCAGCGCAAGACCACAGCTACTAAGTTATGCAGCGCATAGCTTATAGCAGAACAGCGGAAAGGTGGGCTAGTTGGTTAGGGTTCATAATGAATTGAATGGGGCAGCGTTTGGACGAATACATGAACGAGAAAAGACATATAGCTTATATTAACGCGATGGCGTAAAAGACCTTGTATTGAAGAAATGCTGGCATTGGCGTCGTAGGCTGCGAGCAAAAAAATCATCATCATCTGACCGGAAGAAAGATGCAAACAAAATAAATAATTAAAATTTGCGTGCCTGTGTGAGAGTCGAATTCGGGCCATTTGCATGCCAAGCAGGTGTTCTACAATACTCCCACAAGTCTGCTTGAAAACAGTTAAAAAAATAACCTCCTCTGCTTGGAGAAGCAGTGAAAGTAACGTTCATGCTTTACAAGCACATGCGTCCTGTATATAGGCTTCACAATGCAACATGTAATATCACAGTAATATTGCGTGAAAAAAGCAAACATTCCATCCACCCAACTTGCCGGACTCATAAGCAAACATTGCCATCGGGCGTCAGAACATGCGATTATCATAATGGACTTTGTGATTTAAATCTGGCCACCCATTACAAAAGACACACACGTTACTGCGCGTAATCCTTTAGGACCACATGGCAAGTTCTAAAACATTTCACAAGCACAATTGTTCGTGGTTTAAAGCATGCCACCGATTCCATACAATGCCACCTTATGCGAAAGCTTCTTTGACACAAGCCACTTTTGAACTTTATCAATTACATTGTAGTAATCCAGAATTTAAACTTCTAGAATAACATCATACAATAAAAAGTATGCATCAAGAGAATGAAATACACGCTAGGGACAAAATATCACTGTCACGTTCAACTCTTAAAGGGTCACTAAAGGGAACTATAAAGTCGACGTTGATTGTTGTAATAGCGGTCCAGAAACCTCGCAGTGTCACTTTTGTGCCAAGGAAGGGCTTATTTTGAAATAAAATCACGTTCTAGTGGCCTGCATCGGGTTAGCGCACTTCAAATTACCCGCCTCAAGAATCGGTCCGACTTACGTCACTGTTTCCGTGTGCAACGTTGCCCTGCTTTACTGCACGGACGCCAACACTAGTAGACAGAATGAAAGAAGCGAGAACCACAGCAACAACAACAGCCATTGATGAATTTTCTGCCATTGGCTCCGAGATTGCAGACGTGTTTTGGCTCAACTGGGCCCCACTAGATGGCACGACATGTCCACTGTAACCCCGCAAAAATTGAATTTTTGAACCATTCGTGCAATTTTCCATAGTAACATACGGTGGTTCTTTTTTCCATAAATCAAAGAGAAGCCAACAAGCAGCATTTTATTTCATCTCTTGATGCACGAAAGGTTCTTTAATTAGTGAAGCTTGTGGGGGTGCTGACACCCCCCTGTAAAGTTGTCTGCGCCGCGTGGCGCACGTGTCTCGCCCCAAGGCTTTATTTCGGTGGTGACCACCGCCTGGCGATAGATGGCGTTGTGTTCGCTTTGAGTACCACTGTTGGTAGAGTGGTAGCGCCGGCGGTGGCCCCTGGCGGAAGGCAGGCCTTGGCGTTGGGCGAGCGTTGAGCGAGCCTCTTCTGCGCGTGGCGGCTGCCGCGAACGGTTGTCTGTAGCGTGGGCCCCCGGTGCTCGGCACCGCGGGCTTCGCGCCGGGGTCCCACGTGGAAAGTCAGGCGTTGGCGACGCCACCTTGGGTATGTGTTAGTGTGTTGGGTGTGTTATTGTGTGTTTATCATGTTATTGTGTGTTTAGTGTGTCACTGCGTTATGTTGTTTGTATGGTAGCGTGTTAGTTGAAATTGGTGTACCATTCGGCGGACGATATCGTCGTCTAAATTAGTTAATAAATGTATGTTGTGGGCTTTGTACCGACCGTGTCCACTGTGTCCGTTCACTCCAAGAGCGTGGCGTGGCGATGCGCTCGTTCGCCTCGCCGAGACCCCACACTGGCGCCCAACGTGGGGCTCTTGGAGTATCGGACGACAGTTTTTGCGGTTCAGTACAGGGATTTTGTTAGAGCCGGAGTAGAGTAGGCCTAGGGGGGACTTCTTTGCTAGCGTCGGTGGTGTGCTTTGTTGAGAAGCGAGGAGATTGGTTTTGTAACGTGTTTGAATTTGTTGCCAGGTTGACTTTCTACTTATTTTTTTCGCTCGCAAGTGTTGTTATTTTTTTGTTGTTGTTAGTTTTCAAAAACGTTGTTGAATTAGGACGAGAGCCATGCGGTCCGCATCCTGGGGTGAGCAAGGCCTAGAGCACGTGGTTTGTAGGCCAGGCACGAAGCGAGTGAGTACGGAAGCCTCGTGGGTGGTCCGATTTTCTGTAAATAGCTTCTTCTATATCTTTGGGCTCAGGGAGCCGGGCGTCGTTGCTGTCTGGTATTGCGGCTTGACGCCGAGGCGTCGTGACACCGCCCGGGGCGGTGGACGCCGATCGCTCGGTAAGCTGCTGTGTCCGGCGAGCGATAGGGCCACATCACAGAGTGGACGTCTCCTCGCGGCTGCCTCTTCTGCGCCTAGGCTGGGTGCTGGGTGGATGCCGGTTGTTGCCGAGCGACAAATTAGGCCCAAGGCTCTGCGCAGCCGCCTGTCGCACGTGGCACAACTAGGTGGATCGTGGCGTTGAGGTGTTGCGCTCTGCTTCCCTCACTTTTTTTTTTATCTTGCGATGCAAGGGTTAGGAAAAGTGATTTTTGTTTTATTTTGATGGGCGTCTCGGCTGCCACCGATGTATTAGCTAGCAGTACTGACCAACGTACCACGTGGACGAAAAGCTCGAAGCTCACTTCCCGAGGACCTGCTCGATTGTTTTCTTCCAAGTTTTTTGTTGTTGTTATTGATGTATTCAGCGGGAGGGATGTCATCCACGGCCGGCTGTCCTGCACATCGTCAGCGTCGTTGGCCAGGAATGCGGTCGTGAGGTCGGGCGATGGAAATGCCTGCAGTCCGGCGCACTCGTGAGTGCTAGTCGCAACTGGAAGACGTGTCGACACGGATCGTCGCGCCGGCGGCAACGTTGCTGTTGCGGGGCCGGTACTGAGGTGAAGTCGAGCCGGACAGTGCAGCAGTGTCGACCAGCGGCGGTGTCGTGGTGCAAGGACATTATGGTCGTGCGATATCATTTTTTTGTTAAAGCTTGTGTAGCTAATCTTTGATTTCGGGATATAGTTTGATTTAAGGTTGGGAGAATGTGGGGGTGCTGACACCCCCCTGTAAAGTTGTCTGTGCCGCGTGGCGCACGTGTCTCGCCCCAAGGCTTTATTTCGGTGGTGACCACCGCCTGGCGATAGATGGCGTTGTGTTCGCTTTGAGTACCACTGTTGGTAGAGTGGTAGCGCCGGCGGTGGCCCCTGGCGGAAGGCAGGCCTTGGCGGTGGGCGAGCGTTGAGCGAGCCTCTTCTGCGCGTGGCGGCTGCCGCGAACGGTTGTCTGTAGCGTGGGCCCCCGGTGCTCGGCACCGCGGGCTTCGCGCCGGGGTCCCACGTGGAAAGTCAGGCGTTGGCGACGCCACCTTGGGTATGTGTTAGTGTGTTGGGTGTGTCAGTGTGTGTTTATCATGTTATTGTGTGTTTAGTGTGTCACTGCGTTATGTTGTTTGTATGGTAGCGTGTTAGTTGAAATTGGTGTACCATTCGGCGGACGATATCGTCGTCTAAATTAGTTAATAAATGTATGTTGTGGGCTTTGTACCGACCGTGTCCACTGTGTCCGTTCACTCCAAGAGCGTGGCGTGGCGATGCGCTCGTTCGCCTCGCCGAGACCCCACAAGCTAGATCGATTACTAGTGATTAATTGTAGGCCATTCGTCTGACGCCGTCGGTATCATTTTGAGAACGCCCTACTCAGGCGTATGTATTCTTGTGTATTTACCTTAATTTCTCGGTACGTGTGGCACTGCTGTTGATAAGATTGTCGTTTTAGATGTTGTCATACACTCAGCTTTCACTCTAACGCAAATTAAAGGCGAAGCTTAAGGGCCTTCAAACTTTTTTTAATACACAATATAAACAAAACTGTAAAACCCAGCTGGCAACAATACTGCATTGACCAAACCATTTTACATCATACGCCGTTTTTCAGAAACCAGCACTAACTACTTGGCATGTCCATAGAATGCCTTACTTACATCTATCAACAGGACTGAGTGTATCAACCCAATGTGCGCATCTGTAATGCGAATGAATTTCATCTCTTCTTCCCAGTTGTTCCACTGTTCGAAATGTCGTTCTCTTTGGACACATGCTTCTTTCCAGTCAAAGCTTTCATCTAGCATGAAGACAAGGTAAGCGAGAATTACAAACTTGTCAATTCATACCAACGTGCCTACTCACAAAAATGCCTTTAACACTTACACTTCATGGAGTGAGGCCTTTATTAAAAAGGCCTCACTCCATGCATTTCAGTGTACAACAGATATTTTTGTGTGCCATTTTCCATGTGATGACAACATTCTATATCACAAGTACAACTCGCATGCTTTCAATCAAGAACAGCAGACTGCCCTTAACAGAATGCAAATAGGCAGGAAAACATTACGTTCATATAGAAAATATTTTATTTAAATGAGCAAGGAAATTCATTCTTGTAAGAGCAGCGTCTTGCAAAGATGAGCCCTTTTGTCGAAATACTGGCTCCAGCTACATTCCTTGTCCGGTAACTTTCCATCTTTAACACGCCACATACGTTACACTGCATACCTCGATTTCTCACATCTGCCGACTTTTATCATGTTCGAAGTTTGGCTCGTCTTACTACTACTGTATACGTACTATCACGATGAAAAGGATCACGAACAGCAGAAGTTTCAGTCCAGTAAAACTCCAACATATGCCTCGACCGTTACTAGGCGAATACGTGCTTTCAGCCGGCACCACAACAGCGCTAGACTCTTTCTCTGAGGCTCGTGCTATTTCACCGCACGTGTGTTCCAAGTGCCGAGTATGAATGGACGATGAATTCGCGGGCAGTAGCGATATCTAGAGCAAGATTATAGCGCTACGATGATACTGGATGAAGGCCCTGATTCACCTAGAGACAGTCAAGAGATGTCGGAGTTCGACTGAGCCACATCTTCCGCTGTTTGCACTTTTTTCCACCGTGGTGTTTGGAGCCCCACGTTTTTGCTGAGTAGCTTGGTTGTGTGGCCCTTTTTTTTTTTCATTATTACATTTGCAACTATGCTAATGTCTTTCTTTCTTTCTTCTTCCAATCAAATACTTATTAGGTGATCTCTCTTCCTATGTAATGTAAAGCCCTTCGTGGGGCCACCCAAGTTAAACGAAATGAAAGGAATAATAATCAGGAAAGAACACATCAAGCTTAGCTCACCCGCTTGCACAGGGTACGGTTTGGGCCACCTGGCGGTCAACTTTGCCTTCCAGAAGCTGGGATCGCTAAGGATCAGTGCGAAGCGAGTGCAGAGCTTCCCGATCACATCGGTCACGAACTGGGCGTCCAGCAGGGAAAATATCTTGAAGAGAATTTCGTTCGGTAGCGACTCGAGCGACGACTCTCCCAGTACGGGCATGGTTACCTGGAACGCGGGGTAAAATTCGCAATGTCAACGCGTCCTGCGCATACACGATGCATGCAACGATTCTACGGCTTCTTTACAAACGGCACACCACTGCCCTAACGTGCGGCTAGAGCAACCGCTTCACAATCGAATGTCTTTACTAGCGCAACAACCAGCGGTTGATGTCCACGTCGAATTTGATTAATTGTAAATATACCGGATGCTCGAGACCATTTCCCAACTTAACCTCCTTCCTCACGAACTGTCAACGGGTACAAAATACGGGTTTTGCTTACTTCCAGGAGAACGTTGCAACAGCGACAGCCGGAGTTTCTGCACGTTCCGGCGGCGAAATAATAAGCTGCCGAGGCTCGGGTTTTTGGAGCGTGAAAGTCGAAACGTTAGAAGCACAGCTCCGCTATGTGCCAGGACATTGCAACAAAGCGAAACACTTCCCACGCATGCGATGACAGAAAATGAACGAGTCCGTGAGAGGCGCAGCGCGCATACCTTGCTGCGAGGTGCCGAATTTGATGCCGCAAATTAGGTGCACAGGTACGCCTAGCAACCGTCTCACATATTTGGAGAAGACGAAAGGCGGCAACGCATCGTATCAGCTGTGCTCTTCTTCTTCATATACGTTCGCTGCCGAGGAAAGATCCGAAACAAACTTTGTATGCAGCCGCTAGCGGCCCCTAGTTTTTCCAACTGCCCTCTAGAACATGGCGGCCGTGACTTAGTTCAACACTTTTAGACATGCCTTTAGAACATCGCTGTGGTATAAGGCGTCGCTACCGACTACAGCGCTGTGCGGTGGCACGCGCTCGGTGGCCGCCACGGGGGAGAAGGAAGAAGATGAAATAAACAAGATGTCTCCGTTTATGCTGTGCTATTCATTATGCACGATGTAACATATTTTGGCGACGAGGATTCACCAGCCCATGTGCTACCGGCCTGAACCTCATCTGTGCCCTCGTTTATTGCCTACCATCTTCTACGATGAGTATTTCGGGGCTACAGCCGCCACCTCCGTTCCTGTCGTCACCTGGACACCCGGACATTCCATGGGAGCAATGGATCCAGGCTTTCAAGAATTACATGGTTGCTTCGGGCGCCTTCGACCTACCTGCCATTCGTCGGAAGGCGATCCTGCTCAACTGCTTGGGCTTGGAAGGACAACGTATCTTCCAGACTCTGACGACTACTGACGACCCGTGCCTCGTGCCTGCGAGCGCTGCGGCAGGTACACTGACGTCCCCTAGTCCTGATGTGTTCGACCGCGCCATCGCGACGCTGGAAGGTCACTTCAAAACCACGTTGAACGTCACTGCAGCGCGTCACCGTTTCCGTCAACGTACGCAGGCCCCAGGTGAGACTGCGGCTGATTACGTCACCGCGCTGAGAAGTCTTGTAGGAGCATGCAATTTCGGTGATCTAACGGACGACATGATACGCGACCAGCTCATAGAGAAAACCACAAGTGGATACTTACGTGAACGCCTTCTGCTGGAAGAGTCTCTCACGCTTTCTAAGGCTCTTACCATTGCCAAACAGCATGATCAAGCGACTAATGAAGCAAGAGAACTTGCACAAAATGACTTGCAAGTTCATCGTGTAAAAGATACTTCAAATCACAGAGAACGGCATTGTAGCACATGTACTTGCTATAACATGCACGGTCAAAGTCGCATATCTCCGAAAGAGCAAGTATGTTATCGTTGTGGTTCTACGGCACACCTTGCAAATAGCTCTCTGTGCAAGGCCAAAGCACATAGGTGTCGACAATGTGAGAAAATTGGCCATCTTGAAAAGGTGTGCAAGTCATTGCGGAAGTTTGAGAAGAATGTTCAGCATGTAGCGGAAGGTAACGATACAGCTGATCCAGACGACCATTTAAGTGTTTGTCAGATCTGGAGCCGTAAGAAGGGAATTTACGCAGCGTTGGAAATAGAAGGAATTTCTGTACCATTTTTGATCGATACAGGATCATCGGTTTCGATCCTGGCCGAAGAACTTTACCAACGCTATTTTTCTAAAGCGTATCCACTGAAGTCTACATCCGTCCAGCTTCTCGATTATTCAAAGGCAGCAATTCCTATACAAGGATGCTTCATTGCTACTGCCTCATTTCACGGCCGATGCACTTCTGTTCTACTATACGTTGTGCCTGGGGGAACGACCATTCTGGGATTAGACGGCATCGCTGCTCTGGATATGAAGATCCAAGGGTCACCGCTCAGGTGTCTTCTAATGACGCAAGAAACTCCGGTGCTACCTCCAGAATTACGTTCTGAGTTTGAGCACCTATTTGCAAAAGAGCTGGGAACTGTGAGAGGTTTCACTCACAAGGTCAGAGTTCGCGCGTCTGTACAACCGGTGGCCAGCAAACTGAGACGACTGCCACTTGTCATTCGCGAGCAAGTTTCGGCAGAAGTTCAGAAATTAGAAGCTCAGGGCATCATTGAGCGTGTCGACTCTTCTGAGTGGGTCTCCCCTATTGTCGTAGCCAGAAAAAAAGACGGCTCGATTCGCATGTGTGTTGACTTACGGGAGCCAAACAAAGCTGTGGTAGTAGACAGTTTTCCTTTGCCACAAACTGAGGAGCTCCTGAACAGCCTGGCTGGGGCACAGCGTTTCTCGAAGCTAGACTTAGCTTCTGCATATCACCAGTTACCGCTCAGTTTAGAGAGCCGTGACCTTACCACGTTCATCACTCACGATGGACTATTTCGCTTCAAGAGGGTTTGCTTCGGACTGGCGTCGGCGCCATCAGCGTTCCAGAAAATGATGCACATGATCTTGAAAGGGTGCAAATGTGTCCTATTTTACATTGATGACATCATCGTGTATGGGCGATCCCGAGAGGACCATTTGGGAAACTTGCGCGCTGTATTGCAACGTCTTTCTGATGCTGGCCTCCGGCTCAACAACAAGTGTGTCTTTGACGTGGCAGAGTTGACTTTTCTAGGTCACGTTGTGAGCGCCAAAGGATTATTTCCGTTGATGTCATCCATTGAGGCGATAACAAAGGCACCATCACCTACAAATATTAACGAACTCCGCTCGCTACTGGGGCTTGCAGGCTTCTATTCCAAGTTCATTCCTCATTTTTCGGATGTTGTCGAGCCAATGCGCGCCTTGCTACGAGGACAAGCCTCTTTCGTTTGGAGTGCGGCAGCACAGAGCAGTTTGGAGCGCCTGAAATCTCTGCTCACATCTTGCGAAGTGCTTCATCTTTTCGATCCTCACTTGCCTGTGTTCGTTACAACTGATGCTTCAGGATATGGATTAGGTGCAGTACTTCAGCAAGACAACGGGACCTCACTGCAAACTGTCGCATTCGCCTCCCGCACACTTCAACCGCATGAGCGGAAATACTCAGTCGGCGAACGTGAGGCCCTTGCCTGTGTTTGGGCTTGCGAACACTGGCACGTTTATCTATGGGGACGACCTTTCATCTTACGAACGGATCACGCAGCGCTGGTTACGCTTCTTTCGACGAAAGGCACCGGTCACCGACCATTAAGGATTGCGCGCTGGTCCTCACGGTTGCTCTGCTACAACTATACCGTCGAATACAGGAAAGGTAGCGAAAACGTCGTGGCTGACGCTCTCTCCAGGCTACCCGTCCAGAGTTTAATCCGCGATGCACCAGAAGAGGAATTTATCTGTTTGTTGTCTCCCGTAGTTACCATGCCAGAACTTCAAGAAGCAAGTGCCAATGATCAGATTATCTGTGAAGTTAAGCACTTCACGACTACTTCTTGGCCTGACAAGAAATCACTGTCAAAAGAATTGCTACCTTACTTTTACGTGAAGGCTGAACTCTCTGTTGTAAGTGATATCCTATGCCGGGGTGACAGGATTGTCGTGCCTGCAACGTTGACACGCCGCCTTATGGATCTGGCCCACGAGTCACATCCAGGCATTAGTCGTACCAAAGCTCGCCTGAGAGAGTCCTATTGGTGGCCATGCATGGATAGTCACATTGAAGAACTGGTGCGCACATGCGTGATTTGCCAGTCTTGTGACAAGTCCGCACGTACCTTTCCAGCGCCACTGCAACCTGTTCCTCTTCCTGACGCGGCGTGGGAAAAAATTGCCATCGACATTGTGGGACCTTTCACGCAAGCTTCGGCCGACTGCCGTTTTGCGATTACTGTTATTGACTATTATAGCAAGTGGCCTGAAGTGGCGTTCGTGCGAGATGCGACCACGTCTACAGTGAAGAAGTTTTTACTTGAACTTTTTGCGCGAGAAGGCTACCCACGTAGTATTGTATCCGATCATGGACCACAGTTCTCTTCAGCAAGCTTTGACGAGTTTCTCACGGAGCGTGGAATAACGCACTACAACTCTTCCGTGTATTACCCACAAGCTAACGGCTTGGTGGAGAGATTCAATAGGGTGCTGAAGTCGTACATTCAACTAGCCCTGCTTGAACGTCGTGACGTACGAACAGCCATGCTTGATTACCTGCAAGTATATCGCTGTACGCCTCACGCGACTACTGGTGCGACACCCGCTGTTCTTCTTCATCGACGCCAACCTCGCACCAGACTTGACATATTGGGATTGCCCGACAGATGCTTCAGCACGGACCCGTCAAGGGCGATTGAACAGCTACGAGAGCATGTCAAAAAGAAGCAAATGATCTCGAAGAGCTACACCGATGAAAAACGTGGAGCCAAGGAACCCAGTTTCGTCGTTGGTGATTACGTGCGCGTTAAGACAACTGCAGCTCACGGTAAGCTGTCTTCACAATTTTCCGCGCCCAAGAAGATCATTGGAAAACGGGGACCGGCCTCGTACCTTTTGGACGATGGGCGTGTGTGGAACGCATCTAAGTTAATCGCAGTTCACTCCGGAGCGGTCAACAAAATGAAATCGGGCACCCCTGCTGTTATGAACTGGACACCTGCATTTAATCGGTCTTCTCATGCATTACAGCCTGAAACCGCTGCCCTTATGAACTGGTCCCCTGCATCTGATCGGTCATCTAGTGCGCCTCAATGGGACACATCAAGAGCGGATGGTCATGAAAGGGCAGACCCCGTATCATCTCCACCAGACGGCACGCAAGCTTTGACCAGTCCAGGATTTAATGCGCCTGCAAGGAAAAGCAAGCGTAAAAAGAAGACCCCAAAGAAATTGAAGGACTTCGTTAGGAAGTAGACAAAAACAGTTTTGTGTGTTTCTACCATTTATTTTTATTTTATTTTATTTTATTTTTTTTTTTTTTTTGCAAGAGGGGATATGTGGTATAAGGCGTCGCTACCGACTACAGCGCTGTGCGGTGGCACGCGCTCGGTGGCCGCCACGGGGGAGAAGGAAGAAGATGAAATAAACAAGATGTCTCCGTTTATGCTGTGCTATTCATTATGCACGATGTAACAATCGCTTTCAAGATCAGTAGCAAATGGTGAAATTTGCGTGTGTGTGTGCGTGTGTGTGTGTCTTTGTGTGTGTGTGCGCGCAAGTTCCAGCCTTGGTTTCAGCTATAGTTTTATGAAACTCAATGGTTTCAGCGTTCTAAAATTATTTGTTATTCAATAATTCTAATTTAATTGATTAACTTGAAATAAGTTACGTTTTAGGCATCTTATTTTGTTCCATGTGTTTTGTTTTTTTCGAAAATCACTGCAAACTTTCACGCGCTAACATCAAAGCGGTCCAGCATAGAGTTTCGCTCCAGCTTACGCATAGCCTTCGTCAACTGTTACACTAAGCGGCGATTCGCGTACAT